CGTCATCATGGCTGCGCGCGTGGTGTAGCCTTCACCCGTTTTGTGTTTTTAATGTAATTGTATTACCTACGTTTAAATTTCTTCGTGATATAGTGTGTAAATAGTTTTGTCTACACGCTCTGAATAAAAGTAGACCGCATATCACACGCTATATATCCTACTTGTCTTGATCGGCTCGATCCTGTTGCTCGATGAATCGATCGATGCGATTCTGTTCGTTGTCAACAATACTAACGTGACGTTACGTTTATTTCTCAATTCATCAACATAAGCAAGAGCGGACGAAAAAAAAGAGACTGGATAAGCACAGAGAGCGATATAGTATATATAATTTAATTAATTTTATACTATATATATATAAGCATAAGATGAGAAGAAGAGAGAGAGAGAAAAGATGAAATGGTGAGGGATGGCGTGTGATGGATGGCACGAAAGCGAATGAGAGACGAAGAGCTAGAGCTATAGAGCTTTTTCCAGTCACGATATCGAACGTCAATATCACGATAGTTCCTGAAATTCTAATCAAGCCATCACGTATACGTCTTAGGCCCGGATCCTCGCGCACCGCCAAGAGACTCCGTGATGAAGTACAAAGAGTTGAGGAGCGTCTCGTGGGAACTCTTCTTGACGCTGTCCGTCTTAGCAATATGCGGCATCGCCTTTGCATTGGTGATGCTGGTGATTAACATCAAGAACAGACACGAAAAGTGAGGACGCTGAGTATATGCATGCATGAGCGTGGACGGAACACCTCTTATTAGCAATAACGGTCTTATCGAACGGTTGATATGCATATGTGCGAACGACTGCAGAGCTGCTGTGAATTTTACACAGACTGGTACGAATTTGCCTGAAACCACTGTTTCCGAATATTTATTGCGTGTGTGCTTGATGTTCAACAAGACAAATAATTCGGTATATTTTTCAAGCTAATGGTCTCACCATGATCACTTTGCATACGCAAACAATGATTCGAATAAGTGTAAAAAAGTAATTATTGAACTTACTAGTCTAATAATGTCAAAACGAATATTCGCAAAAAAACAATGGTAAAGTGGCCACTTTCCGTTAACTTTCTGTTAAAACAGCTATAAATGGGACTCAAAAATTAAAAGTTATTGTTGTTAAAGTTAATTTCTGGGGTTACTAATGCAAATAATTATTATCAAATACCAGTGAATTTATGTAAAAAATAAAATACAGGTGAATGTTATAGCCTTGACAAAAGAATTGAAATGAGTCGCATTCTAATACTATCCGAAAAACAACCCAACTTGGCGTGCGGTATCGGAACATTGTCTACAGTTCTGACACCTATCGGGAAGATTAAGGAGCGAAAAAATACACGTCGTCGTTAATAAGTCTTGAAAATTACAGTTCTTAAACAAAAAACTCGATATGAACGTAATCCGATGAAGACCTTTGATTTTCACACGCGTGTAGGGAAGATTAAGTACACAATAATGAAACACCGAAATTGTGCCCCGTCACGGTCACGATTTAAGTAGAAAGGCAGCTTTAGCTTCTAAACCATTTCTATTGTTGTTTATTTTAAATTTTGAATGTTTTTCACGCTTGGCATCGGCAGTTCTAACATGGATCGTGTATTTGTCAGGGTTATAAAGATGTCGAGTCCACGTGTAAATAACATCATAGCCGTTGGATGCATTCTATGTTACACGTCAGTCGTCGCGTTCGGCATAGACAGGAACGTAGTAAAAAGCGATGACGGACTCATAGTTGTTTGCGCCGTGAGTATAAATAAAAAAGTGCCGTGTTATCGTTGTGAGAAACACTGTGGCGTTCGATCGGTTCATATACGGTCGGACGTCGCATTCAAATAGCATGTAACAAGCTGTTGCAAAAAATTCCTAGTATGTAATTGCGTAATAATATGTAGCCTGTCAGATCAAAACATGCCGTAGGACTCAATTCGGACATTATGAGTTAGTAGTTTCAGAAAGACCATTCAATTCTGGTTATTTTGACACCAAGATCTTCTTCCTAGGTCACATGGTTCGGAAGTTATGAGCATTTGAGTAGTTGGAATCGGGCCGATTTTGGAAAACAAAGTTCAGAGTAATTAGGTCATAAAGTTAAAGTTTGTTTTCATTTGGCCTTCATTTGGAAACTTTTATGCAAACCTTTTGGAAATCTGCACTTTTTGGACACGCAAATAAACACATAAAGACACACTTTTGGCCAGTTTTATTGATGTAACATCGAACATGGATAACTACTAAAGGTATTTATGACGACAACAAAAAATCGGCTTTTTACTACTTTTAGGTGAAAAATCACCTATAACTCAGAATGAACATTGAAGTCCTACGGCATGTTTTGATCTGACAGGCTACATATAGTAAATTTAAATAATGCTACCTTTGCGGCATGACCAACATAGCACACCTCGTATTGACCCGCTCAGTTAGCTGTTGCTCTGGAAATTGAGAAACATTGCCATGTCATAAGAATGCCATCGACTTGCTGCTGGCAAAGTAAGACCATAAATAGAATACATTATCTTCGGATTCTATTTTATTTGGTTCGTTCATTCGTTCGTTCGCTGTTTTCGCAAGGCGTCACGCGCAAACTCGATTTCGTCTGACTATGGCAGTTTTTCGTTCGCGTTGTTTTTCAGTGTCGGGCTTGGCTGTTGTCGATGGGATTCACTATGGCGTTCGGCGGACTATTCAGCAAGACGTGGCGAGTCTACGCGATATTCACGAGCAAAGATAAAAATAAGAGAGTGGTGAGTGACGTCATTTTAGGTCTCGTCTGGAAGAAAGTTATGTCCTCGTGTGCAGCGTTGTGCTTGCGGTATCGCTACAGTAGCATTATCCACGAGAGACAATCTGCTTGATTTTATCTGACGCCGGCACCGCCGCGAAATGATTTCCTTCGACCTTAAAACGCGATCGCGTCGTGCACTCGTTCGTTGCAGATAATTAGAGACGAACATCTGTATGGGTTGATAACGGCATTTATGGTAATCGACGTCGCCATCTTGATTTCATGGCAAGTCGTCGATCCGCTCGTTCCCCGTCTAGTCGAACTCCCCGAAGAGGTACGTATTGAATTTGCTGCTGTATATGTAACACACTGCAAGTCGATGTGGCCAGCTGACATACCTAACGACGCAATGATTCCAGCGCGCCGACATTGCGTCGACCATTCTGACTCCTGGATGAACGTGATCAATCTTCCATTCGCGTGGTCGTCTATTTCTATTGACCAACCGCTGCACTAATGTTTTTATTTTATCTGCCGGCAGGTGAACAAGGAAAACGACCTTGTCATACAGCCGATGTCGGAAGGATGTCAAAGTTCAAGCCAGTACAAGTTCCTCGGCATGATTTATGGCTACAACGGTCTGCTTCTTATTATCGGCGCCTTTCTGTCCATAGAGACCAGGTTTGAACGATTTCAACAGCCATGCGGATTTGCACTCGTATTACTGAACGCCTCTGATGCGCTGTAAACAATATAAACCCATATAAACAATATACGCCCTATAAACGGGCCCGACCTGTTTATTGTAAAATGCATGCTCATCATGTTCATGTGTAATCAGATTATATTTGCACGGAAATCGTATCGTTTGCTACTTGGAGAATAACAAATCAAATGGCAGGATATAAGTAACAAGTCTAATTAGCAGACAACTGTTCGCTTATTGCCCAACAATATATGTCCTCGGTTTAAAAATGACAAAGCTTGTTGTGGTTGGCCCTTATATACAACGAGTAGTGTATGATCTAGTTGAGCCCGTTGATGTAGTTAATTCACGCTATTTAATTAATTATTTAATTGGCGTCGTGTAAAGCAGGTTCGACCATATTTCTCCGTCTCTACTAGAATTATACATTTCTACACACATCAACTGAAATATGCTTACTGAAATTCTCATGTAAACAAACTAGTCCAAAAGCTAGTCGGTGAGATTTGCCTCATTAGGTTCCCATTCCTATACCGATTATCGTGCTAGTGCAATATTTGGCTTCCCCTACATCTCACCGATAGGTTACCCATGCATTTCTTTCGATCGTAAGCTCTCTATGTATGAGGCTACCCTGTTGTTACATATTCAACTTCTCATAACAACACTACAATTCGGATACATTTACTCTACAATGCTGTTAATTATGTTGTGCCGGCACACGATATACGTCATCGTCGTTAGCTCAAATTCTAACTGCTCGTCTGTTTATTACATGCTTGCTCTTTCTGTGCGGCCCTATCTGGGTTACATGTTCTCGCTATACCGTTTTAGTTAGGCCTCTTGAGCTGTATGTGCTAGATTGCTTAGTTTCTTCTAATTGACGCACATTCAGTCTCGTTGACTTCTACTCTCAGATTGGCAGCCTTTGCTTTGTTTCGTTCACTCTCGTGTCACTTGGATAGATGTCGCTGCTCGTAAACCCGATAAGGCCGTATTGCTGTGCTGACGCCATAGCGTGAGACTACTAGTTTCTGCTGTTCCATGAGGTCTCGTCGAAACCGGCTCCAGCCCATATTCTTTTTTATATGTCGCCTGGTTGGAAATGTGTCATCGCGTTTAGTTAGTGGTCATGTTGCACATGAAGCGCTGGTATCACCAGATCCTTACTTCTGCATTTCTGGTCAGTATCACCAGTGCCCCCCTTACAGTAGTTCCAGTGACCGTGCTTAGCTTATCATTTAGCATATATAGCTTCAGGTATTTATGTGTGAAGTGTTCATGCAATTTTTTATTATTTAGAATAATCGTTCAAGGAATAAAAAAGTATGTTATGTGTTAATTCTTAACAAATCGGATTTATGTTTTAAATGCCGGGTTGGTGCGTCCTATGATAGACTGTGCAACGAGCTCCCATTTTGCATGAACGTTCACACATTTATCATGATATTGTATAGGCTTACCGAAGTTACGTTTACATATTTAAGTCCACTGTTCCGTCAAGTACGTCGGCTGGAAAAACGGAGTTTAGTCAACATAAACTCGCCCAAAAGTTTGACAGTATTACTGCCACAGTTATCCTACATAGAGTGATGTAAGCGTCCTCCTAATTCTCCCTCGGTGGTCGGGTTGTTTTCTACGTAACTTCGTCAACTCAAATTGCAGTGTATCTGAATGTACGGCAGACAACCTTTTTCGCTGTGCATCACTACCTTTCACTTATCTAGTAGTCTTCAATGTTTGTCTCCAGTGAAAGCTCTTATTCTCTATTTCGTAACGCACACGCACACGCACACGCACACGCACACGCACACGCACACGCACACGCACACGCACACACACGCGCGCGCCGCACACACACACACACACACACACACATACACACACACACACACACACACGTAGTTTGCATGTCCACTATAGTAAACCACGTCAGGTAAGTCTAGATATGCACGCACTCTTATGCCCAAATAGCTTACGCCGTGTTAGTGTCAGCTAACCTGTATCAGAACGTATATTATCAACATAACTATATCATAACTCCAGCAGCTCAGGAGGTTGAAAATAATATATAATATATAATAT